CCGTCCAAGGAGTCCTACCGACTGCCAATAAGATTCGTAATTTCATAATTAATTCTCAATGGGAACAGGCCAGAGATCGGAATCAAGCTACCCATGGGGTTGTGAGACGTCGAGGCTCCCACAGTATCTAGACAGTCGGCTCACAGATAGCGGTGAGAATGTCAGCCCTACGCGCCGGTCGCCCTTTACCTCGGGAAGATTCCTGGTACTCATTTCTGTTAGACCCTGAGTCGACCCCAGGGCCATAGTGCGGCTGGAAGGATTATGTCGATTGAAAACTCCAGTTACCTCGTCGGAATCGAACCCGTGACCTTGTGGCTTGTAGCATAGTGCCTCAACCAACTACGCTACCGCGTGCCCCACATGCCACAGGTAGAGAGGCATTTGTTTCTGCTATCCCCTCCTGCCACTTACGCAGTTGCTATTACCCCCTTCCTTAAGTGTGAATAATAATACAGTGAATATTTAATGGTGAGGCACAAAGGAGCCTCGGCAACTAGGCGGGCTTCACGTTTCGTTTCGAGTGGGGGACAAACCCCTAAGTGGTCTCTGAAGCGCATGTGCAATGACAGATTTCGCCCCATTGCCTGTGAATAGGGAACAGAACTTTTGGACATATGTTGGGGCTCTTGTAACCTATATGCACTATTTGATTGTGTTGGCTGAAAACAGGGCGATCCTTACTCTGCTGCATGAGTAGTTGTACTGATTTTGGTGGTGGCGATAAATTTGGTGATAGGAAAACTTTTAATTTGAGGTGTTTCACGGCTGTGAAAATTCTCAGTGTGGATTTCTGTCATGTGACATCTTGTAGCCTGGTATTGGTTACCGAAGTGTCAGAGGAACATGGTGCCTCCATCTTCAGGGTAAAAGTCTTGCTGTAGTGGAGAGAGTGAAGCATTAAGGTATTTGAGCATGAAGACATTTCAACTTCGACACTTTCTCTGCCTCATTGAACTCGGCTTTGGGCCCCAGCCAGCTTCCTGTCCGACGGGTGCAGGAAGCTCATTCTCTGGGGGTGAAGCTGACCACTCATCTCCATGTAGTACCGAGTTTAAGAATGCCTGGAGCTACATCTCAACTACTCCATATGTCTTCGTGGCATGGGGACAACTTTACCGTTACTTTATATATCCATTGTTGTAACGCTAATCACATTGTTGAGAATCAGAAATTATTAGACAGCCGAGGAATCGGGTTCGATTCCCGGTAAGGGTAACAGTTTTCTCTCTTCTTCATAGCATCTGGACCGGCACTTGGGTCTGTCCATCCTCCTATCGAATGGGTACCTTGGACTCTTTCCCAGGGGATAAAGCGACCGGAACGTGAATCTGTCTATACCATTTGATATCCCGATTCCCAGCAATGAATCTGAATGTGACCCAGATAATGAAGTCCCAGTGAAATTTAATTTGCCATTTCTGTTCCCGTCATCACGAGCCTCTGAGCAAAAGAGTTACAAACTGACAAGAAAAATGGCGCCTGGGGGTGTCCAATTCGACAGAAGTAGTTTCAAAGGACGTCACATGTGGAGGGTTCGTGTAATTGCTCCTGGTGGTATGCAGACTGGGAGAATCCCTTTGTATGAAGTAAAATTGTGTAGAATTCCTTCCATTCCATCGGGATACCTGTCTGCTGCTGATGTCCCCCTACACGACTGTCACACAGAGGCATATGGGGACATGGAGGTGCTCTAACTCTGCGCGCAGGACTTCTCCCCTGACAGTCTTCACTTGGATTTATACACGTATTGTATTGCCAGGAATTCAGGTTAGGCGTGTGTGGCCCCGAATGATTGGTTGATAATTAATACTGAACTGGGAAGACTATGGAAGAGAAAGGCCCTGCTCTAATTTAAGGTACCATCCCGGTATTTGTCTAGAGGTACTGAGGCGGCCCACAAATATCTGGGTGAGAATAGTTTGTGTTCCGGTTGGGATTCGAACCTGGCATCTCCCAGATACAATTTAGAAACATTACCGCTTGGGGCAGCTGACAACAAAGGTACCAACATTTGGTGAGGAACCTGCTGCCTCCATCTTATTCTAATCTGATGAAGGAGGCACCAGGTTCCTACGAAACACCGATAACCTTCTAAGGGATCACTAAGAATATATGTGACCCTGACGATGAAGGCAAGTTCCTCCGAAAAGTTGATTTTTTACCCGACCACACGGCGTCATATTCCAGATGATAAAGTGTAGGACCGGTTTGATTTAATAATATCAGTTCCTACCAGATATGTTCAGTCGCTATAGCGATGGGTACGGGCAGCACGAGCGGGTTCGATTCCCGACACGGGCGAGAGAATTTTCTCTTCTCCACAGCGTCCAGAGCGACTTTGGGCCCACCCAGTGGGTACCGGGGAATCTTCCCAGGATAAAGCGGCTAGGGTGTGAAGCTGATCACTCACGTCTATCTACTGTCGAATTCTACATAGTAGAAATGTGGAGTTTGCCTCATTTCCCTCACACGTCTTCTTGGCATGGTGCTTAATTACATAAGCATAGCAAAGGGCTACGGACTGAACGGTCTGGGTTCCATTCTCGGCAGTGCAAGATTTTTGTCTTCGCCACAGCGTCCAGACCGACCCTGGGGTTCACCCAACCTCCTATCCAATGGGTACCGGAGGCTCCTTCCCAGGGGGTAAAGCGGCAGGAGCGTGTAGCTGACCACTCACCTCCAGCTAGTGCCGAGTTCAAGAAAACGTGGATCTGTACATCCACTCCCACATACGCCCTCATGGCTCGGCGTTTAATTTAGATAATCACGGATAACTTTACCTTACCATTGAAACTTTTGGACAATGAAAGCCGCAATGCAGATATGACATGCTGTACCAACCAAATTGGGTGCATGGACCGTCTTGTAAGGAGCTAAAAATATCGTACGAAATGGAAACAGGAACACGTATGGGGGCGTATTGTAAACCCCAGGGGCATTGCCACTAACAGAATAACAGCACAGCGATTTGCAAACGTCGGCGTTTCAGCTAGAATCACCATGACGTCATAGGCCCGTAATATTCCCAGAATTCTTCAGTAAGCTTCCGTGATCTGCTTTCTTTCTGGCATGCCATGCCATGTAGCTTGGTATATTACCGACGTTTCGGAGGAGCATCATGCTATCTCCATTGTCAGGATACTTCAGTTCTCGCGTTTTCTCTGTTCGCCTTGGTTTCCTATGCAGAACTTCGCGGTCGCCATTATCCTGCTTCATTTTAGGAGGGTCTCCACTTCGAATACATCCAGTAAGTTAGCTCAATCAAGCGGTAACACTCCTAACTTATGTTCTGGAGGTGCGAGTTTCCTCAGCTCATCCAGGCAAATACCGAGACAGGGCCTTAAATTAGGCCATGACCGTCTCCTTTTGCATCCTTTCCAGTTCATTCTTCACTATTATTCGACGCTGATTTGTCTGAGTTACTGATGGCTGGTTTAAATCCTGACTTTCGATGATCCGTGATTACGCGGACAGTTGAACTCCGGTGTTTCCGTTCCCTGTTCGCCCCTCAGTAATTTCCTCAGAATTTCATTTTCAAAATAATCTACTCCGTGGTTTCTCGAACCCCTACTCCAAGAGGTTACAGTAATGTCTACACCCAGTCTAGGCAAATCAGTGGTGAGATTTAATAGATGTGCTTACGGAAAATGTAGCTACTGCGGATTTTCTCGTTTTAATAGCTTGCTGTAGGTGTAGAGAGGCTGTGAAGCTATTCAGGTTCCTGCTGTGACACCGTACAGCCTGATAGGGACCTGCAACAGTGTGCACAAGTGCACCTTTTGCTGACCAACAAAGACTGGCAGGAGGCAAAGGTGAAGATGTCCCTGTGCTTAACTAATTAAGCACTACGCTATGAAGACGTATAGGGGGAGTGGATGTATAATCCACGTTTTCTTGACCTCGGCACTAGTTGAAGGTGAGTGGAAACAGCCCCCGGTTCCCACTGGATAGGAGGTTGGGTGGGCCCCAGAGCCAGTCTAGACGACGCGGAGTAGTAAAAATTGTTGACTCTACCGGGACTCGAACTCCGGTCTCTCGATCGTCCAGGCCGTAGCCAGTTGCTATCCCGGCACCTACTGGGGGGGGAGGGGTCTCGTAAATTTTCTCCTTTTTGGGGGGGTGCGTTATCATGAAGTGTAAGAACCTCTGACCTATAATCTCTGTAATTACTCGTACCTCAGGTTTGGAGAACAGATTTCACACGCGTTTAAATGAACATAAACCGAATCTCGCACACGTGCTTCACATGTTCGCAGCCCGAACTCGAAACTCTGCCTCTCTGACTTCCTCTAGCCGATGTACTCCATCTTAGTCTTTTGGCTTATTTAACGACGTTCTCAGTAGCTCCGGCTGCTAATCGTCGCATGGTAGAATGCTTAATAAACGATTAATTATAAAGGATTGGAAAGAATCGGCCGTGGCCTATTTCAGATTATCCCTGCATACGCCATGAAGGATTGGGAAAGGTCACGAAAAATATGGCTCAGGATAGTCAGTATCCCAGACGAGATTCAAACCGAGCACTTCCCAAACACAAGTAATACCGCCTAAGCCAACTTCTCAGTAATTCTTTTTCGTTCCCAATATACCATTCACAATCATTGTAACCTACGCGGCTTTGTAAGTTGCTCAGCTGAAACGTAGTCGTTAAATACTCAAGAATCATTCCTCTTTATGTAGACTACCAATTCGCATTCTTTCACTGAGGACGAAATATTCTGCTTAGTCGTCCGGTTTGTGACGCCGGCTAGTCTGGTAGATCATAATATAGGCCTGTGCCATCGAGCTAGTTGACCCAGGCCGGTTTAGGAGGTACGCAGTTCGAATCTGGGCCTGGTCACCTATTATTCTGAGTGATGTTTTCCGTGCCTTTGCTCAGATCCTCCGGACGAATGCTGGGATAGTATCTCAAATTAGGCGCCTTGCAGGCATCGTTAAGTGAACCACAGATAAATAAGCATATCTGCCCAGCACTTCAAACACACGCGTGTTCTTACCTTATACTGCTCACGCGAGGGCATGTGGATGTAGTACGCGTGTTCCGCCCGATGGTGATGGTGGTGGTGGTGGTGATACACGTATTGGCCCCCGTACTGCTGCTGGTGAGGAATCTCTTGTGACCAGTCTTCTTTCGCGCCTTCCGTCTTTCTTGTGGAATGATGGGAGGAGTGACGTCAGACCTCCACGTGCTGCTCGTTCTGTTTGTAAACAGTTCTTCAGAGACTGGCGAGCTGAACGCGGAGCGTCACTTCCATTCTCCCGCCGAAGTGTGGCCAGCTGCCGTGTGCCACGTCCAGCCTGCACCGCGCGCTCCAACTTACTGATGTCTGTTCGCGTCGTGGCGGTTGGGGGGGAGGGGAGGGAACAACTGAGCCAGCGAGCGGGCACCAGCTGGCGTGTGGCCCAAATCCCGGCCAGAACCATCCCGCAGGAATATAGGCTTCGACAGGCTGAATGAAATGTTGCGATAAACAGTGCGCTCGGAAGAATGAAGCGATGCCCCGTGTCAGACAGAATTGTGGACAAACGGTGAAGGTGGTGACCAGGTACTGTAACGCTTAATAAGCCTAAGGTATCGTTAAGTAAACGTTACGGAGTCACTGTGCTTCATTAAACACCATACCATGAAGATTTACGGGGGAGTGGAGGTATAGCTCCACACATTCTTTAACCGCGGCACTAGATGGTGACACTGTGGCGTAGTTGGTTGAGGTACAATGCTACAAGCCGGAAGATCGCGGGTTCGATTCTAGTGAGATAATTGTATTTTTCAATCGACTTAATCCTTCCAGCCGCACTCTGCCCCTGGGGTCGACTCAGCCTCTAACAAGTGACAAGCAGGAATCTTCCTAGGGGTAAAGGACGGCCGGCTCATAAGGCTGACAACCTCACGCCATCTGTGACCCGACTCTATAGAAAATGTGGGAGCCTCGACGTCTCACAATTGTATGGCCCTCCATGGCCTGTTGCAGGGATAGCCTTAACTTTACTTAGAGTAAAATTTTGCAGACAAATAGAAGGGTGGGTGGGTAGATAGATCTTATCCTGACAGTAAGCATATTAATACTAAAATGAACGCTTTAATTAAGGACTGCAGACTGTTAGGGCCGTGGATTGCAGCGAAGAGACAGTTACGGAAAAGACGTTGCTGGTTCTGCAGCCGAAGGCGGAACACGTGATGGAAGCTGTGCGTTAGATACGGGGTCTTGGCCAGCACCAGCAGGTCGTTAGCGTGTTGGGCTCTGATATCCAGTGCGGAGTAATCCTGCAGTATTTCTTCGTCAGTGGGTGGGACCCAAGTAATTGATGGAGTAGGCGGTACCAGAAAGTTGTGAGAACTTGTGGTCTAAGTTTCCTGTGGCTCCTGGGCACCAAAGACGACAGTCTCTGTCTCGTTTTCTCGATCGGTGCGAAAGTTCGCCAGGCGATATCTCCGTCTTTCCTGTGGGGAAGTTCGCCTCTCTTCGAGTTGCATTTTACCCATTTGCCAGTGGAATTCTCCACTGCCCATTGCTTGATGCTGGGCAGACTGCCTGTAAGCTGTTTACGTTGGTATGGAGAGGTTCATTGAGTGCCCGCCCTGATAGATACACTGAAGTCCACCTTCCCACAAGAGCTCCTAGTAGAAGATACGAAGAAGGCTCTGCTTGGCCTACTGAAGCATGGAATCCTTTAACGTACGGACAAATTAAACATCCAGAAGATGTGGTCCCATTGAGCCTGATTCTCACACGAGCTGGGAAGATGGCACCACTGTATGCAGATGTGCTGAAGCTTGGTTAACCGTACTTCCGAAGCCACGGATTGACGTATGGATTGTTGGGAGGATGGATAGGTGAACAGAAGGAGGCTTTCAGGTTCAGACCGCGTCGATTATTCAGGGTGTTCGGCAGTTTCAGCAAACTTCATGGTTGCAGTCTTCAGGGCTAATGACTTGGGAAGGATTTTGGCAGCTCGTTTATGTTCTCGCAATAAGAAATGTGTCGGAGATGAAGCCCTGATTGGCTGAGCAGAGGAGCGGGATGCTAACCAATAGGGATCATCCACAGTGTTCTGGCAACCGGCTGGTCCTGAGACGATATGGGAAAAGCATTTCAGCGACCCGTGTTTGAATCAAAACGTGATAGAAGCATTTCTCGCCTGTTTCCTCCTCTTCTCTTTCTTCCAACATTGACAGAGAGGCAGATACGGAGATGAAAGACAGGATTTGATATCGTGACTTTGGTTTTCCTCAGTATCTAAAGGCAAAAGCTATGATAGCGCTTTATGTGGCCGCGGCCACAATGACGCCCACCCTGCTGTTCGGAACAGTTGAGGACGCATCGGTGAATAAACTGAGAAGCAGCTTGCGGTGGAGCCCGTCCGTCACTTTGACGAGGACCAGAACTCTAAAGTCTCTGAGTCACTGGTCACAGAGCGAGTGGTATGCCGAGGCTATCTGCTTGCTTCTTGGGGACTGCAGAATGAAGCGTGTCTCGAGGAGCCGACCGGAGAATTGTAATGAGCAGCTTCCCAGAGGCTGGAGATCAGTGAGTTCATGGCGTCTGCTTCATACAGTTTCATCTGTACACCTTTAGATATGTGGAATGTGTTACATAGTGGACCCAGTTAATTTCTGAGATTTTAGGTTGTATGGTCTCTCGATATGTGACGCTGTGTACTTTCACTACTACGAAAGTTTCGAAGGGACCTGCTTGCCTTCATTTACAGGATAGAGAACACTTTTGTACACCGAAAATAGAGGCAATAATTTCCTCCGAAACGTCGGTCAAGTCTACCACTTTACTTACTACCGGTCTATCGGGCTTCTTGTAGCGGTAGCATATTACCACCTGTCCCGCAAGCAAGGGGTCGAGCACACACCTTACGCGCCATGAGGACACAGCTGTCTCTAATTGGGTTACACATACAGTACATGCGGTCCACGTCCGCGGCGTACAAATCAATGCTGCAGCCGCATCCAGCTTAGTCTGGTGCTGCGACGCTCCTAGTGACGTCGGTTAGTAGAATGGATGACGAATGATGAATTGTAACGAATTTGGATGGAAGTGACCGTCCCTTAATCGAAGTACCATCCGGGCTCTTCCTGGTTATATAATAATAATAATAATAATAATAATAATGATAATAATATAGCGTGTATAGCTGTTGCTATGCAACTATTGCGAGAAAGAATATGCGTTGCTTGGTAACGGCCGATAAGCACATCAACAATACCCGGGCTATAGCTAGACATCTGCTCGGTAAACGGGTTCCCGCGGCAACGGATACGTATGTAGTGGTCGAGGTATTGTTGAACTATAACAATGGGTAAGTTTTCTATGTGGTTCGTGCAGAAATATTGTAAGTAGAGTCGATCGAGTTCCTGAGATTGAGGGAATTCACAAGAGTTCTGCACGGATGGCTATGACAAGAAGACATGAGCGCTGGAAGCTGAAGAATCTCCATTGTTAGAAGCACTTGCCAGGAAATGGTTGGCGAAGACACTGCAAGATAGAGAAGACTTACTGTTTGCAGCACTGATTTCTAAATTATGGAGAACAGCGATGGAATTGAAATTACTTGTAGTTCTGAGTTGTCAATACATCCAATATCCAATCCACGCCTCATCTATAGTCACACCCCCAGATCGTGACAGTAATAATAATAATAATAATCTGTGGGCGCTACAGTCCCTAGTGAACCTTGGCCTCTATTTCACAGTTTCTTATTCATATAGACAGTCGGTAGGACTCCTTGGGCGGGGGATCACCCCATCGCAAGGCCGCTACCTACATACAGAATAAACGCACACAGATACCCATGCATCGAGTGGGATTCGAACCCGGGATACTAGTGTCTGAGCGGGGGAAGATAGTTCATGCCTCAAACCGTGCGGCCACCGTGATCGACACTCTTTGTGGAGAATCTGAAGAAAATCACAAAGTATTGAGGATTAGTAGTGCCCGGTCAAATTTCGAATACAGTTCTAGGGCGTTACAGCTACAGGAACCAACTCGTATGAGTGGCCAGTCGTTCCTGTGTGTACCATGTGCTGCAACATTCTGCCCGTTCAGTGCATTTGTGTTTGAGAATATTAGGGAGAAAAATGCCTACAAACTTTTGGTTTGAAAAGTTCAAGGCAAGAGTTCGATAGTGAAATCTAGGAGCAAATGGAAGAATAATATTGCAAGTAGTTCTGGGAAGACGTAATCGGCTACTTTCCTGTAATAAGATACGGACCGCATAGGAACCAAAAAGTTAAGGGTGACACACAGAGAAGCAAGGTGATGTCGTAAATCTCGTAATTCTAAATACAATTGGGAAATACACAGACAGATGGACAGACACGGACTGATACACAGACAGCAAGGTGATGTCGTAAGCCTCCTCTTAGTTTCTGAAAATAAGGAAAATAGGCTGGAAATGTATCGTAAAGAAATAGGATGGAACTGAATTGATTAGGCTCAGGGTTGGTACCAGTGGCTGAGGAACTGTTAGTTGGTTGGCTTGATAATATTCCCTCGATTGTTTTCTCTCTCTCTTCTCACCCTTCGGAGGGCTGAAAACGCTGAAAGAATGCTGTGATCCCTTCGAATCCCGCCAGCGGTCTGCGTTTATCTTTCTGACAATCACCATTATCCCCTCCCCACACAAATTCCTGACTGTGCATGGGGCTAACACCCCTTGCGGCTGAAACAGTTACGGATTGAGGATCCTAGCAATTGATTCCCAATATATTGAACAAATTCGGAAAGTCCGGGAAAAGTCGTTCTCAGAAAGAAACAGAACACAGTGACTGAGCACGTGTTAGAAGCAAACAGTGCAGTGCATGTAACTCCTCCTAAGTCTGAAGTTCGTCTCAATAGATATTTACAAATTCATTTCATGTCCCGCAGGAGTCACGCCATCAGAAATACTAAACGGTTCATTCTTTTTAGTGGAGTGGTCATTGAAGAAAGCAGTTTTCTGGGATTTGGCACCGTGTATATGTGGTGTTAACCGACGTTTCGGAGGAACGTATCTCCTCCATCTTCAGGGTAGAAGAAAAAATATAAGAAATCCGTATCGCCTCCATCTTCAGGGTAGAAGAAAAATATAAGAAATCTGCAAGAAATCTCACGGTCTCTTCGCTTGCAGATTTCTTATATTTTTTCTTCTACCCTGAAGATGGAGGCGATACGTTCCTCCGAAACGTCGGTTAACACCACATATACACGGTGCTAAATCCCAGAAAACTGCTTTCTTCATAGTCACCGCCGTGAAAGCCTCAAACCTTACGGAGTGGTCATTGTTGGGTGGCTTCTTGCTGTTTACTTGCTT